GAGTATAGCCCACGGAGGGCTCCAGTTCCCGAGTATAGCCTGCGGAGGGTTCCTGTCCTCGAGTTTAGCCCAGTGAGGGTTCCTGTCCCCGAGTTTAGCCCAGTGAGGGCTCCTGTCCCCGTGCTTAGCCCAAGGAGGGCTACAGTCTCTGAATCTCCTCCAGAGCGCCCTCAAGTGCCCGCTCCTCCAGCGCGCCCTCCAGAATTCCTAGTTTTCCCCAAGAAAATTTTTTTTGGGGGGGGTCTTGTACGGAGGACCCGCCATGGCCTCCTGAGTCTCCTGATCCGCCATGGCCTCCTGAGTCTCCTGATCCGCCATGGCCTCCTGAGTCTCCTGATCCGCCATGGCTCCCGGAACTGTCTGCTCCGCCATGGCTCCCTGAACTGTCTGCTCCGCCATGGCTTCCTGATCTGCTCTGGGCGCCCGCCCCCCCTCTCCGATGATACTGTTACGGCGCTGGACGCGCCGTCCGGGAGGGGGGCGATCTGTCACGTGTACGTTTCTGTCTAGTTCCTGTTTGCCCCTATTTGGTTCATTTCCTGCTCATTTAGTTAATCATCTTTCATTAGTTCCCACCTGTGTTGTATTAATCATCTCGTTTGCTCCTTAGTTGCCTGCCCTTTATAAGCCCTCAGTTTATCTCATTCCTTTGTCCTGGATTAATGTTATTTTCAACGGTTATTGTGTGTTGATGTTCATTAAAGTATCCCTATGTTTACTCTTTCCCCGTGCGCTCTCTTACTACAACCACGACCGCATGACAATCATCTGACATTACAGCTTTAAAACTTGTGAGCTAATTGTTATTGTTCATCTCAAATGCAGTTGGTTTTATATTGCATTATATTTGATAGCTTTTGTTTTTCCCAAAACCTCAGACTCAATTTGTGACACTTGAGCAGCAAAACTAGAAGTCAAAAAGCCTTTTAATGACTGGCAGAGCATAGAGTCTTGACATTTTTTTGGCTTTCTGTTGTCTTCTCAAATACATATGCCACTCAATCATGCTTTATGACAACACTGCTGGCTTTTGATGTGCTCCTCTTTCTAACATGACGTTGGGCAGTGTTTTCAAACATAGCACGGCTGTCCAGTTTTCAGCCCATGGGAGATCAGGTCTACAGCCGCCACACCCCTGGTTTTGGATGAATCTTTAACTGACCGTGAGAATGAAGCAGGGGTTTACTGATGTCTGACTGCACCGGTAATGAGCAGAGAGTAGGGAGTGTTTTTGTGTGTTACCAAAGGTTTGACTGTCTCTGTTTCAGGACCACATCCCTGTGCCGTATCAGCCCGACTCCAGCAGTAACCCCTCCTCAACCACCTCCTCCACCCCATCGTCTCCTGCACCCCCTCTGCCGCCCAGCGCGACGCCCCCATCTCCTCTGCACCCTTCCCCGCAGAGCGCCAGACAGCAGAAACAGTCCAACCTTACAGGTACCGACCCAAAACATATGCTTATACTTTGTTGTTAATTCTGTAAAAGTGTGCCTAATTTAATGATTCCGCAGAATCTTTTCTACAGAATTTCAAATAATAATTGCTTAATGCTTAAACTGTATTATTAACTGTATTTTGACCCAGAGATATTTTTTTTTGTTTTTTTTTGCTGAAAATGCTAGTTAATATTATCACATTGGACTAACACCTACTGATTTGCTCACATATGGTATCTTCACACACAAAAAAGATAATTATTACACCTTATTACACAATTTGCTTATAAATGTCTTTTTATGCAGTATTATAACCAAATATTAGATTAAATTCTTTTATCACGTTGTTTTCTTTCTATTAGCATAGTTTTTTTTTATTTCTTTTTGAAACTGAGTGATCATAGGCTTCAGTGAACTGAGCTTAGTTTTTGAGTGAATTTTGCCAAAATTATCCAAAAATAATGTTTTTTTTTTTACCCTGAAAATAGGGCGCATAGGCTCAGATCAATAAGGCCCATGTTCAATAAGTCTCAAAAAGAAAAAAATGAATTGAAATTGAAATAATTGAAAGAAAACGACTTGACAAAAAGATTGAATCAAAGATTTGGTGATAATATGCTGTAGCATAATAAGAGATTTGTAAGCAATTTACATTTTTTTTGTATATTTGTCATTTTCAGCACTGCACAAGGAATAAATACAAAGCTTATGTTTATCATTTTTGTATGTTAATAAAACAATTTAATTAGAAAATATATCAATGCATTTGTGTGGATTTTAGACTCTCTTAGTATATGGCTGCGCTTCAGGAAACAAATATGGAAATAATGATTTGTATAATAACGAGGATGATTTAAATTATATATAAGGACTTTATGAAGTATAAATTGGTCCATTTTAGTGCTGTACTCTAATGATCCTTATTTGTGCCATATACAGTATCAATATCAATCTATTTTGTTATAGTATTTCTGCCTTTTTGGAAGAATTGGCCAAACGGTCTCAAAATTACAAAAAGTGATTCTGCAAATTTATTATTATAGTGTATGTAACCTTTGTGATTTAAGAGCAACAGCATGATACTTTAGGTATAATTAAAACTATTATAATGTTAATTGATGCAAGCGGGCTAAGGTGGATCATCACATCATATTGAAATTAAAAGAATATGAAAGACTTGCTTAAAAGGATATTTAGTATTAAACATACATAGTATTAAATGGTTAGTACAGTACATTGATGCATTGTATCAGTTTTAATGAGTTAGTTAGCATAACTTACATTGCTGTGAGAAAGGCTTGTAGAAATGCTGTGTTATACTAGAAAACCATCATCATTTCACTACAGGCACAGTTGAGCACAGGTACTGTAGCAATTGTACTGTGCTGAACCGTGTTAGTTGTGAGCTCTAAACGATTTACTGACTGAGTTTGATTCAGACTGCTAACTTGCACTGTTTTTGAATCTTTTTGACTGACTCATTAATAAAAACCAGTTCAAATGGTGATTTTTTCCCACAAATCGGACATCACTACCTGTAGGCCTACAGAGCCCCTAAAAGGACATGGTAGTGGAAAAAAATCGGGGTTGGAGGAAAAAATATTTTACAAATGTTTAGCGTTCTCTCGCAAAACGTTTACGTTCCCTTGAGAAACCTTGCATTAACCTCGCAAAACTTTTGCGTTCTCTTGCAAAGATATTTGCATTCTCTTGAGTTCGCACAAACTCTTCCTGCTTACTTTGCAGCTTGCAGTGGCTCATACACAGAAAAGCAGATGAGCCCAGAATGGAACGCGCAGTTTCACCTGTTTTTATCACTTTTTAAGCCACGTTAAGCACGCTTTTCTATGGGAGAGAAAACGCTTATTCAGCTCATATTTTGGGCTTGAATGTATACAATAGGCGACATATTTTTAATACATATATATAATATAGCATATTTGGTCTTTTTTGTCATCTCCATTAAGCCGCGTTAAGTGTTTTATGAACTGCAAGCTGTAAAGTAAACAGGACGAGTTTGTCCGAACTCAACTGGTTTTGCGAGAGAACGCAAATATCTTTGCGAAAGAATGCAAAAGTTTTGCGAGAGAACGCAAAACATTTGAAAAATATTTTTTCCTCCCACCCCGATGTTTTTTCCACCACCATGTCCCTTTAGGGGCTCCATATTACCCGTGCTGTGCAGAAAACTCTAGTACGCAGTCTAATCAGATCCGCTTATATTGACACACACAAAGTTTTCTCAAATGTTGCCAACGGCAACCAGACTTTAAATTGTTGCACTTGTGCCATTTTAATTTCCTAGTGCATTTGCAATCATTCAAATCATGGTCTGGAGTTCTGTTTTGAATGTCCCGCTTTTCAGTTATGACAGCACTTAATATAAGCAGCAGTCAAACTGACATGAACTCCTCAAGTTTGTGAAGAATGAGCCAAAGAACATCCTGTGCCAGAAAATTTTAGTTCACATTTCTTTGTTATACATTTTTCAAAATCATAAAATGTTCTGTTTACTTCTCTTGATTTGATTTATTTATTAAACGTTGAATCTCAGATTTTCAGTGTGGTTTCAGACTTTTGGACCCTTGTGTATCCTAAGTCACTATTTTTATGGCAAATGCATCTTTGTGATGGATTTTGCAGAACAATAACACAGACCAATAAGCATCTGGGGGTGTGTTGAATTTGATTGAATTCTGTCTGCTTCTCTCCTGTGCTTTTCTCAGCATCTCATTTCTACAAATTCAAGCAGCAGTTCATCTTCCCTGGTAAGTGTGTCATAATTGGTCATTACCCCTACCCATAATGCAGTGCGACATGCCGAGGCGAACTTTTTTGATGTCATTTTTTATGCCGTCTTTTCTTTGAGGCGCAACAAACCCCCTCCCTCTCCCTCTGTCTTTCTTTGCTCTTCTTCTTGTCGTCTCTTAACCAGCAATGCTGTATTGTCTAATGATGGTTCTTTTAAAGACAAGGTCGCCTGCACCTCGCTGACAAATAAAGGCTGATAAGTGCCTGTATTCTGTGGGAGGCACTCAGCTTGCTGCATGTTTTTGATGAACGTGTGGAGGGAGGAAAGCCATGTTGTGTTGGTAGCCTGATAGTTTAGAATAAAGGCTATTGATGCCAATTTTGCCGGTTTATTCCAATGAAGAGGTGAGCTACTGAGATCAGTCACCATTGTACCGTACAGCAGGGAACACACGGCCAGTTTTGTCCATTAGGTAAAACAATTTGTTTATGTTTTAATGGAAAGTGTTTATTAAATGAGAATCCTCTAGGGTTTCATCTTTCCTAACAATAGAGCATCATATATTTGTGTAGTATGTAAGGGATAGTGGCTGACAGTGCAGTATGTTGCTTGCTAACAAAAATAAATCAATGGACACTCAGTGTTGTTTGGATTGTTTATATTATGTATAGAATCTTTCCTACAGCTATGTAGGAAATCTGTTGCCTGGAACAACAGTAAATAATATATATACATGTATGCACTCACTACTGTTCAAAAGTTTAAGGTCAGTAAGTCTCTTATGCTCACTGTGGCTGCATTTATTTGATCAAAAAGGCAGTACAATTGATAATATTGAGAAATATTATTACAAAGTTTTCTAATTTCTAATCTAATTTATTCCTGTGATGCAAAGCTGAATTTTCTTCATCATTACTCCAGTTTTCAGTGTCACATGATCCTTCAGAAATCATTCTAATATGCTGATTTGGCACTGAAGTAACTTTTCTTATTATCAATGATTGAAAACAATTGTGCTGATTAATATTTTTGTGGCAACTGTGATTTTTTTATTTATTTAGGAACAACATTTATTTAAACATTAAATGTTTTTTCTTTCACTTTTGATCAATTTAATCCATCCTCAGTGAATAAACATTTCATTTCTTTCCAAAAAAACGTATCGAACGCAAATTTTTAAACCGCAGTGAATGGCTTCAGATGTTTGTGTAGTATAGGTACATGTAGAAAATGATTTCTGAGTTCTTTTTTTCTTTTAAAGAATGTTTATTTGAAGATTTTTGGAGTGTGTTTTTCAAGAAAATACAATTTTCTGAGTAAAAATAGTTTCTACATCAATTTTTTTTTCTCAGTGTCTGTTTTGGTGTAAATCAGAGTTGTTGTTCTCAGCAGTACTCCTGCATGTTGTGATGAACTTAGTCTATAATAATACACTCTTTTACAAATTATGTCATTTTTCTCTCTCATCTCTGCCTTGTGACTTACCGTCTCACTTTCTCTTTGTAGATGTGGCCCCTGAGGCTCCCACCAGGGCCCCTCAAGTCATTCTACACCCTGTTCTGTCTGAACCTGGGTAAGTGTGTGCGTGTTTATGTGTATGTGAGTTTATGTTGATTTGACATTTTAGAATGCATTTAAACATGATGACATCAGTCTGTCTATGTAGAGCTCACTGGGATTTGGAACTAAAGTGCAAATGCATGTTAATCAATAATGGTGACTAAATATCATGGTAACACTTTACAATAAGGTCCCATTATCTGAATGCAAAAATTAGTAGCATAAAATGTAGTTATGATGCTCTATTGCTCCTTTAGATGGAGGTCAAATGCTGTAAAATGTGCAATTATCTCTTTTGTGACACTTATAATGACATGCCAAGACCACTTAACGTTGTTTATTAATATACAAATGTGTCTGAAATGTCATGTTCTGTCCTGTACTTTGTGTGTTTGTGTGTGTATTTAGAGCGATGCCCAGTGAAAGGCCACAGACATGTCAGACAGTTTTGCCAAGGCTTTTGTCTATTTATGGCAGATATGAGCATTTTAGATTACAGAATTATTAGAGCAAAAATATTTGTGGTGCAAAAGCTGATGTGACTGAAGACAAGTCACACACACACAAACTTGGACTAAACAAAGAGTGGGGCTTGAGTTTACGCTACAGTGATGATGTCAAGCGTATCCATGGATGTTTTGAAAAACTCAGAGACCCATAAAGAAAAATACTATTTTTAATTAACTGAATCAAGATGCATTAACTACAAAAAAAAAAACTGGATATTAGTTTCTGTAGTTCAGACAGCAGTATGTTTTTCATTATGGAGAATTATAATGCAGCTGACATTAATTGTTTGATAGCTGTAGAGTAAAATTGTTAACAGGCATGTATGCATACATGGACTGATAGCTCTTTCCAGCACTGTCCTCACATATTTTTCAACCCAAACAAGGGTCAGAGTGTATTAACAAACACATTTCTTACCACAGACATGTAATAGAGTGTCACCCAGGGTCAATTTTAGACACCAAATCTCCTATTTTATTTTATTTTATGTAGGCAGCACACTAAGCAGAGCTTGTCTGAACAGCTTTTGTTCAAGCTAAAAATATGAAGGTGAACATGCATCATTTTTTGTGTGATCCTTTCAGATGGCATAAAGTAAACAATGGATTTAAATGAGATTATAGGTCCTTGAAAATGAAACCTCGGTTCGTTCTGTTGAGGTAAATTACCCTCCCTGAGCAAACACATGTTCTGTTTCTCTTCTCACAGTACCAGAGGGAGTCCCTTGCTACAAATTGAGGTTGAGCCAACATCTGATGTGAGTCATCCTGCTTCTATAGCAAACATGCACCATCATGTGCTAAAAACTGAACATATACGCAATATCTATCTATCTATCTATCTATCTATCTATCTATCTATCTATCTGTCTATCTGTCTGTCTAACAGTATCTATCTATCTATCTATCTATCTGTCTGTCCTGAACATATAATATCTATCTATCTATCTATCTATCTATCTATCTATCTATCTATCTGTCTATCTGTCTGTCTAATCTACAGTATCTATCTATCTATCTATCTGTCTGTCTGTCTAATCTACAGTATCTATCTATCTATCTATCTATCTGTCTATCTGTCTATCTGTCTGTCTGTCTGTCTGTCATTTGTTCTATCCTTCCATGGTTCCATCACTCAACCTTTCTTTCGTTCTGTCTATCTTTTGTTCTTTGTCTGACGTCCTATTGTTCCATCACTGACTATCTATCTATCGTTCTCTCATTCTTCCATGGTTCCATCGCTCCACCATTCTTTTGTTCTGCCTATCTGTCTAACTATTGTTCTGTCTGTCTGATGTCCTATCATTCCAACACTCACTATCTATCTATAGTTCTCTCATTCGTTCTGTCAATACATGGTTCCATCACTCTGCCATTCTATCAGTCTGTCTGTCTATCTATCTATTACTCTATCATTCCATCCACCTATGCATCTACCTATCATCCATCCATCCATCCATTCATCTTTCTGTCTGCTGTTCTACAGTTATATTTATCGTTCTATTTATCTATCAGAACGAGGAAGGCAATGATGAGGCCGAGGGTTCAGCGGACGAGTTCGAGGAGATGAATCTCTCCCTCCTGTCTGCACGGAACTTCCCACGTAAGGCCAGCCAGACCAGCATCTTCCTGCAGGAGTGGGACATTCCCATGGAGCAGCTGGAGATCGGAGAGCTGATCGGGAAAGGTCGCTTTGGACAGGTCTACCACGGACGCTGGCACGGAGAAGTGGCCATACGGCTAATCGACATTGAAAGAGACAATGAAGAACAGCTGAAAGCGTTTAAAAGAGAGGTGATGGCGTACAGGAACACACGGCATGAAAACGTGGTCCTGTTCATGGGAGCATGTATGAGACCCCCTCATCTGGCCATCATCACCACGTAAGCTTGAACAATGTTCGTTGAGTTCCCAGTGTTTCCGGTGCATGTGTACTAAGCTTCATGACTGTATCTTAAAGTTGACTCACTTTTCCTGATCTTCTCTAATCAGCATGACCTCATGGCTTGCATTACTGGCTGCTTTCAGCCTAATTTAAAACGACATGTCTTTGACCACAAATGTAAACATAAGTGGCTGAATTTTTTCACTTCTCAGAATTCTCAGAAGCTATGAACAGAGAGGTTTGTGAAAAACATCCTGTCTGAACAGGAGACGGCCAATATTATTTCCTTCCTCCTGCCACACAAATTGGTGCTTCCTGTTTGTTTGTCTGCAAAAAGGTGCTGTGCTGCATGGCCATGGCCAATAAAAGATTTCAACAGAGGATTCAACTTTTATTTTCCTTTTCTAGAATCAAAGTGTTTAGTTTCTTGGATCGAATAAGGTATTAAATATATTACTTATATATCTTAGTTTTTAACTGTTCATTTTATAATCTAATTTATTTTTGATTATGATATTGTTAATCATACTATTATATAATAAAAAAAATTTTTCAGGATTCTTTGATGAATAGAGAGTTCAGAATAAGTCAAATTATTTGAAATCGTTTACTGTCACTTTTGATAAATTTAATGATGCATCTTTGCTGAATTATATTAATTCTATTATTTATAGATAGATAGATAGATAGGTATTTTAATATTAATAATAATATAACACACACAAAATACAGTATTATATAATAAATATTAGGACATATTTTTTTTAAGATTTATTTTGGCATTTTTGCAATAGGAAAGTATGATGACAGGAAGCGAAGTGGGAGATAGAGAGGGGATGGGGTCGGGAAAGCCCACGAGGCTATCGGCGCCAACAAATAATATAATATTTAATATAGCCCATATTTAAATGTAGCTCTGACTTTTTTCAGTATTTTTTAAGTTCTGGTAAAAATCTCTAAAAAAGTAGCAAAATTCAGAGAATATTTTGTGAATCAAGTTTATTTTTCTTACCTTATTGGCAAATCGTTTTCATTCACAAAAAAAAAAAAAAGTATATTAATGTCTAATCCTGACTAATGTTAGTGCATGATTTTGTGTATTTCTATTAACACAGACAAAAGTCATAATGGTTTTATTCAGTCCTTAATCATAGGCCAGCAGGCCCAAACAAACAAATTGAGATATAATTGCAAGAAATGACCTCTTTCATAAAAATAAATCAGGGAAATAAATAAATATTGATTGTGTGTCTCAGCATTGTCATGTGATTATGCATTGATTGTTTTTCATATCACCCCTGCAGTGTGGAATAAAAGTTCAGCTTTTGCTCACAAATGCAGCGTGTACAACATAATTGCAGCAGAATGTCAGAGGCTGTCATTATTTGGAATAGTCTGTCTTGACATTATTAGTGTTAACAGCTGATGTACGCGACACATTTCTGTACTGACGCCACATATACAGAGTTCAGCATTTGCATTTGTGCGTCCCGCATTTAAAGGGTTCCACACTGCAGAAGGCCAAAAGGCCAGAGTGATGCTAAAAATGGGCCTCGTACCCTGATGGCATTATGAATATGTATAAATGGAGGAAGAGGGCAGCCCGGGGAAAGACGCAGACGTCTTTGTCAGGTGGCACAGTAGGACCTCAGATGTCAGGGAGTTGGAGGGCTTTCTTTCTCCTCGCTCCTGCGGCGGTGAAGTTCATGGCCCGCTCAGCATCATTAGTCCTCCAAGTGACAGTGCTCAAGTCTGCTTGTATGTAAATTCAGAATAGCATGCTGAAGTATGAACATGTATCATTCTTGTCCTAACATACGTCCTATGATAATGTAGGTTGTAGGTTCAAACTCAATGAGGGGTTATCCATGAACTTTTTGCATTGTGACCTAAAGCTCATAAACTGGCTAAATTAGTTATTTTCTGGCAGGCTTTATTACCATTCTTCATCAACAATCTAAATTGCGTTCATAATTTTAATATACTGTTAAATGCATTCATAGTTGCAAACTTAATTATGACCAATACCGGTTAGTACTCTCATGGACATCAGTAATCAATCTCATGATTTTATTTCATTTTAATTGAACTGCCTTTACCTTTAGAGCTTCTAGTACAGTATTTTTGCCAGTGAATTATAAAAATAGTAAAAATTTTATTTGATTCATATTTGAGTGAGTTGTTTTTATACACTGAATCTGCACCTGGAATGCTATTCTTTATTTCTGCAAACCCACAATCTGCACAAAGAGCTGTAAAATAACTGGACATATTTTGATGTTATGGTTGCTGCTGATGCCTAATATGTGTTTTTTGTTCTTCTGTTGTAGTTTGTGTAAGGGCAGGACCCTCTACTCAGTGATTCGAGATGCAAAAGTCGTTCTCGACGTGAACAAGACTAGACAAATCGCACAAGAGATGGTGAAGGTAAGAGTAATTGATGTGAAGTCAATGTGAAGACTGTTCGTTAAATGTCAGCTAAAATTGATTCACATGTGTATAGCAGTTATTTAGCAAAACATGTCAGTGTCGGGAAGCCTTTATATCTACCTGTACATGTACTGTTCCTTCACATATACAGCATGTGATTACATTTAGGGCTGCACAATGAATCAGAATAAAACTGAAATTACACAATTATCAAATCACAAAGACTGTGATTTAATTAAATACATGCAGAGTGCGTTTCAAAGTGAAGAGTGGCACTGTGTTCCTTTTCACGCTAGCAGCTCATGATTCAGTGTTTTTAGTGTTTCAGAGCAGCTCAGTTTGCTTTGCAACAAAAACAATTACTATTTTAGAATTGTAATGTAAAATAAAATTATTATTATTATTATTGTAGTCATTCATGTATAATCTATAATTTTGGGCCAAATTGTGCAGCCCTACAAACAACACAGCAGACCTGGAGCTTTTTTAAAACCTGGATCAGTTTTTATTAGAAAAATAGCAATTAGACTTAGAAAAAAATCTAGACAGAATTAGCAGTAGACCAAAAACATGTAATTGCCCTAATTACATTAACACCATTTTTTTCAGGGCATGGGCTACCTACATGCCAAAGGGATCCTTCACAAAGATATGAAATCCAAGAATGTATTTTTGCAATTAGACTAGACTAAAAAATCTAGACAGAATTAGCAGTAGACCAAAAACATGTAATTGCCCTAATTACATTAACACCATTTTTTTCAGGGCATGGGCTACCTACATGCCAAAGGGATCCTTCACAAAGATATGAAATCCAAGAATGTATTTTATGACAATGGGAAAGTGGTCATCACCGACTTTGGCCTGTTCACAATATCTGGTGTTCTACAAGCAGGCAGGTAGGTCAAAATACACACAAACACACAAATTCACTCAGCTTTACTGTGATTTCAAGTAACAATGTTCTTTCTTAATGTAGAAAATGTCCATTGATCTTTGCCAGCCATTGAAATGATTTTTAAAGAAAGTCTCCTAAACTGTTGTTATAGTTGATAAGCCAGTGATGCGATACTCTAGTAGTCCAATAAACATAAAACATGTAGCAAACAAAATATTGGGTAGTTTTTATGTTATATTGAACTACGTTATTTGTATCAATACTTTTTTGTCATTGAATGAATCAACATTTCTTGTATTAATTTTCATTTTGGATACATTTTTGGGCTTGCCGTTATATTCTGGGATTGTCTCCTCAAAAGGACACGTGATGTTGCCTTAGATATTGGCCAAAATTGGGAAGGCAGCATGAGTGCGCCTGTGATGTTGTAAAATGCTGTCAACACTTGCCTGGAAAAAATGAAAATGTGAAAAAAACCCTGCTTTTCGCTGGAGTACTAGCCCTAAAAGGTGTGATAGTACCTTAGAGTTATGCACCTTTATGCACCTATGCACCTTTTAGGGGTAATTATGATACAAATATGTACCTTTAAAGGGATAGTTCACCCAAAAATGAAAATACTGTCATCCTTTACTCACCCTCATGTCGTTCCAAACCTGTATGAGTTGCTTTCTTATGTTGAACACAAAAGAAGATATTTTGAAGATTGCTGGTAATCAAACAGTTGGTGGTTGCCATTGACTTCCATAGTAGGAAAAAAAAATACTATGGAAGTCAATGGCAACTACCAACTGCCCCAGTGACAAGCTGTTGGTACCCCTAAAAGTACAAGTTTTGCACATGTAGGTAGGATGGTGTTTACTAGCTGAAATAGAGAGTGCGAGTGAGCTCGGTGTCTCCATAGAAGAGCGACAAATGTACAACCCATCACACTATATGTGTGACAGGCCATTAATAACGTCCTTAAATTCCATAATGACTTTCAGAAGTGCTTATTAAAAACCAAAGCCTGTAATTATTAGAGTGTTGGCCACAGAGCTAAATCCAGTTTCACCTTCAGTGTTCTCATGGTTCCTGATAAATGTCTGCTTCAGTGAGTTGAAGTAGCAGCAGATGTTATCATCACACGAGCATTTGACAGGACTTCAGTAACTTTTATTGGGGAAACTCCCTCTAGCAATCTAATTTCAATGCACTGGAAAAATATGAATAGATGAATATTGTTGCTTTTGCCAACCAGATATTCATGACTAAATGTGACCCTGGACGACAAAACCAGTCATAAGGGTCAATTTTTTAAATTGAAATTCATACATCTTTAGAATAGATCTCAACAACTTCACACACTGTGCTCAGATATTTCTCCTTAGCTAGAGACTCTGGTGGTCTCACATTTGTCTCTTCTAAAGTTTCAAACAAGATCTCAACAGCGTCACACACTGTGTTCAGATATTTCTCCTAGTCTAAAGACTCTGGTGGTCTCATATTTTTCTCCTTTAAAGCTTTAGAAGAGATCTCAACAACATCACACACTGTGCTCATATTTTTCTCCTTAGCTAAAGACTCTGGTGGTCTCACATTTGTCTCCTCCAAAGTTTCAAACAAGATCTCAATAGCATCACACACTGTGCTCAGATTTTTTTCCATAGCTAGAAATTCTGGATCTCTCACATTTGTCTCCTTTAAAGCTTCAGAAGATATCACAACAAAATCACACACTGTGCTCAGATATTTCTCCTTAGCTAGAGACTCTGGTTTCCTATGGGACATAACAGTAATTGATATCATTAGCCTTTGGCTTCACTACTTTATCAGACAGCGATAATGTGTTGCTAATGTCACACAAACCATGTTCCCGTTCTCCATCTCAGAAAGCTACCTTCTAAAAATCAACATCCTTAGGTAGAAACGCTTTGCTAATGATATGAAAAGCCCCACCCAGGAGGTTGATGTGATTGGTTGTATGTTTGTGATGGTAAGTAACAGACTGATTTAAAACATTATTTTTAAGACTGCCTTTGCAGAAGTGCAGTTTTAAGAAGAAAATGGTGTTGACTGATAAATTTGCACGTGGTTTGCCTTTAAGCATTTTAAAAATGGCAGATAGACATGTAAACAATGTTAAAGGTGGGGTATGTATTTTTTCAAAAACGCCTTAGAAAACTGAGTCGGGCCGAGTAACAAAACAAACTTGTAGCCAATCAGCAGTAAGGGGCGTGTCTACTCATGATGTGGAGGAGAGAGTGTTCAGTGCACCGGACGGACATTAGCCGAGCCGAGCGACAGAAAGATAGAGATAGCGGATAAAAAACAAACAAAAAAGAGGACACTGTCTGCGGAACAAAAGAAGGCTTCAGATAACACAAGAAGTAGGACCCGTGTAAATATCGGATCAGCTATCCAGCGCTGGAGAGAGCTCAAGGAGCGGAAGGCCTTGCGATTGGACGCCAAGGTTGCTTTGTTTCTTCTCGATAGGTAAAGCCGGGCTCACACTACAGGATTTTTGGCTGGATTTTGCTGTCGCAGACAGATTTCCACAGTCTGCGACAAAACCCCCGGATCGTGACCAAATCGGTGCTCGCTGCGGTCGCCGAAGCTCGTTAAGTATGAGCAGGTCAGCAACGTGATCCGAACCTGTCTCGAGCTATCACAGACGCTACGATATTTTCAAACCTGTTTGATATTATCGCCACGTGATCTCGCAATGTGAGCGACACAATGACAAGGTGGAACTTATCTAGCCAATCACAGTGCAGATGGTATAAACACTCTTATCATGCATCTTTATGAACAGACACGAAAAGCCACAAATTAATCAAATCAACTAACTAGAAATAAATGTAACAAATGCATAGGGTGTGTATATAATACCACGTTTCATTGTATACAATATATAGTATATAATATATACACTCTAAAAAATGCTGGGTTAAATATAACCCAGCGCTGGGTTAAAAAGGGACAAACCCAGCTATTGGGTTGTTTTGACTCAAAATATATAATATAAAAATATATAATATTATAATATTTAATATAGTATACTGTTTAATTACCTCCAACTCTTTCTGCAGTACTGTCAGTCCTTGTTGTCCACGTCTTCCAAGCCATTGTTTCTACCATATTCTCTTTTTATCGTGGTTTCTTCTTTCTTTCGGATAAAATAACTGCACAGACCAATTGAAGGGCCAGTTAATCGTCCATGCTTGAAGATATGGCCTATAATCGCTGAAATTTATCGCAAGAATTTATGTGAGAAAACGTATTTTCGCTGATGGTCGGGAACGCCTCTTCACTGAATGTTTTCTAGTGTGTGCACCTCGTTAGCATTGGGTTGTGTAGTATGCGCACAGCTATGACAAGACAACGACAGATGAGAACAAATCTTGTTGCGTAGTGTGAGCAACACAGTGATTCGGCTAGTCTTTCAATCCTGTAGTGTGAGCCCGGCTTAAGTAACACCGTGTCTACACCGGTTGCTACAGTTGTCGCGCCGCGCCAAAGTCTGTCTACACTGGATGTGATAAAGTGACCGCTGAAAATCATTTGAAATTTGTGTCAATACGTCATAAATAGAACGCAACAGCAGTTTTCTGTCGGGGATTTGTCGTGCTGCGCCGCATCCAGTGTACACATCATCACTGATTATAATGAGTTCTATAGTATTTTGTCGCGCCGCTCGCGGCCGGTGTAGACACGGTGTAACATTGGTTTTGCTTTGTTTCACAGAACTAATCGTTGCCTGGGTTGCGTACGTATGTGTGGGGCGGAGCTATCAAAATAGGGGCGAGACCCTTTTGGGGTAGGGGTGTGTTTGTTTTGGCGATTTGAAATATCAACACTGGCTACCAGAAATCACTTACCCCACCTTTAAAAACTTGATTTTCACCACAGGAAAACTAATGATTCCAAAAGGAGGATTTCACAGTGTGAGAAACATTTTTTTATAGTGTGAAGAATATTTAAAAATTTTTAAAAGACACTTTTCCCCCTATAAAGAACCTTTTGTGGAATGCAAAGTTTCTATGTATGTTGAAGTTTCTTCATGGAACCATAGATGCCAATAAAGAACCTTTATTTTTAAGAGTATATGGACAAAAAATAACAGAATTTTCATTTTTGTGTGAATTATCCCTTTAATGTTACACATTTCAGAAAGCAACAATGCATGAAACCGAGCTTGTACAGCTAGGAGCATTTCCGTTCACATGAGGATGAGTGAATGATGACCAGTACTTTTGGGAGAATGTTCCTTTAACTGAGCACGCTTTATCTTAGGGTTACTTCATTTAATTTTAAATCCCAAATCAATATTCAGTATTATGAATATTAAATTAATTATGTTTTAATGCCATTTTCTCCAAGTAATTAATTCAATTCCGCCTGTGTATATGATGTGGATGAGGCTTTTGGCGTAAAATGATATATGATCAGGTGTCATACACAACATCAGGAAAAAGCACAAAATCTGTAGTATTTGAACAGCTATCTTTTGTGCTATCTTTTGCATCTTAATTGAAAACCACAGTCTTTCCAGATTCTTTAGACCTGTGTCTATATATTCCCGTCTCCTTCAAGAGACAAAGACTTACAAGAAGCTTTTCTCCACCACACTCCTTTGAACAGGAAAATCCATGAAAAGGGTGTCTGATGTATGTGTTTTGTTGCTCTCTTGCGATGTATGAAGAGGAGACATCCTCTTCTTTATGGCAGAATGAACTCAAAGATATTCTTTCCTCTAGGCAAGGCCGCTGAATTACCGTGAACAGTGGCAGATGTTTGATTTGTTTGGCAAACCTGGGATATACTTCATATATCTCAATCATTCTTCAGTTTTGAATGTGTTTCTTAAGGCAAAGGGAAGGGTTATAAGAGGACATGTCCTCTTCTACAGTATATAACACTACATCAAAAAAAATCTGAACAAAATAAATAAATAAGGAATAATATTTTGCATAAAGACAGTTCCGTAAATTTTTTTTTGAAATATTTTGCATTGTAATATTATTTTAACACAATTAAGCACATTTTCTATTTAAATTCTTATTACCGCCGTGCATCCAGACATGAATTGCACTTCATTTCATTTAATTTAATACTGCAAAGATGTATACACACTTTGCCATTTTGAGTAATTATATATTTTTATCATTTTACATATATCTTCAAGCATTACAGAATGAAGGAAATACAAAATACATGTGAAAAATATGATAAATACACCATGTTAATTTAATGGTGCCATGATGTACACAATTTGTAATTTAAGTGTTTACATAATTTTATAACTTTTACATTTGTGACCCTGGACCACAAAACCAGTCATAAGGGTCAATTTTTCGAAATTGAGATTTATACATCATATGAAAGCTGAATAAATGAGTTTTCCATTGATGTATGGTTTGTTAGGATAGGAGAATATTTGGCTGAGATACAACTATTTGAAAATCTGGAATCTGAGGGTGCAAAAACTCCAAATATTGAGAAAATTGCCTTTAAAGTTGTCCAAATTAAGTCCTTAGCAATGCATATTACTAATCAACAATTAAGTTTTAATATATTTACAGTAGGAAATTGACAAAATATCTTCATGGAACATGATCTTTACTTAATATCCTAATGATTTTTGGCATAAAAGAAAAATCAATAATTTTGACCCATACAATGTATTTTTGGCTATTGCTACAAATATACCCCAGCGACTTAAGACTGATTTTGTGGTCCAGGGTCACATTTATAGTAATAGCTTTTTCCAACAGTCCAGTAATGAGAATGAAGATGATAAATGATGATAAATATGATGTTTTGTTAATATACTTTAATTTAATACTGACATTATGTAAACACACTTTGTCATTTAAACAAAATGGGCTCATTATTTTATAATTTTACCTTCATAATAATCTCTTTTTTCAGCATTATAGTAATGAGATTGAGGGAAATATGATAAATGTGTATGATAAATAAGCCAAAATTTCTTTCTTTCTTGTCCAAGTTTATTGAGTTTAAGCATCGTCTTAACAGCATTCAGTTCTTGCATTTGTCAATCAACAGCCCCGAAACACAATTTTAATGAAGAAATTCAACTTCCTTGTTTTGATTGTATAGGTTTATTTGTGTAATAAGATGAATAATGAAGTCTTTGGCTTTGAAAGTGCTGAAAATGAGAGTAAATTATCTTGGGCAACATGAAGCGTTTGCCACCGCTGATGACCGTGATGATGTTGATGTTGTTTTGGCACTCGTCCCATTCCTGTTTGCGTGTCGCGCCTCTTTGAAAATGTTTTCATTGGCATTGCAAGCAGTAAATCAACATCCCCGATGGAGCGATATTACAAACACTCGTACCCATCGGTTCATCTGATTATGAGGCTGATTTCGCACAAGTGTGTTTACGCATGTTGGCAGTAATTACCGGGGAAAAGACGACGTCTCCACAGCGACAGGTTTACATTGCAGCCATTGTTGATCAAGTCTCTTGGATCGGCTCACCATTGCCGTTCTGATCAGCCCACTTCTACACCTCCGCAGCCATGTGAATTATTATCAGGAGTTATTAGGAGGAAGGGATAGTATTTGAGAGCGGCACATTTTTTCTCAGGCCATCAGGGACGTGCAGGCTCTAGCATAATTATGAATTGTTTATCTGTAAGGCACAAGTCTGGCTCTCAATAACACGATTTTACATTAGTTATGTATTATGATTCAGGACCTGACTGGGTATTGAAATAAGATCTGATTATTCTGGGATTCGGTGCTGTTTGAAATACCATCTAAGGCAACATCTAGCAGGTACGAGAGGCTAGTGAGGCTGTGGACTGAAGCATCGTCAAATGTCAAGGTTTGTTTATTAGGGTTTGTGTGGGATTGAGTCTTCTTGAGAGATGAAGTTATTGGAAATTTACTCTGGGCAGTCGGATGGGCCGCCCAGATTTCAGACAATAGTGGTTTTAATGCTGTGGAAGCTCTAAGAGCTCTTGTATCTTTTTTTCTTTATTTATTCTGTGTTTTGTGATAATGATGTAAC